TTAAGATTGTAGCTGAAGAATACAAACCGTCTGGTTTAGCATGTGGTCGACCGGTGGTGGAGATAGAGATAGTCGAGAAGAAGAAGGGGTCAGGTGTGGGGAAGAGGAAGGGAACCGAGTGAGAGAAGAAGAAGAAGCAGTGAGAGACAGAAACGTAGTATAGTAGAAGAAGAAGAAAAGTAGTAATGGGGGAAGTGGTGCGTGTCTTTTCTGCAAATCTCCTCTTTCACCTCTGCTCTCAGCCAAGGCCAGCCAAGAGACACTTCACCTCGCACCCACACACACATGGAGCCAGAGCCAACACACAGAAACACACACTCAGAGGGAGAGGACACACACCTGCATAACTGCACACGCTCGCTCTCTTTCCCTCACGCACACTCACATAACTGGCATATGAGAATGTAGCCACCCACTCAGAAAAAGAAATGGCTAAAGCACAGACACAAACGCCTTAACGCACGCATGCATACGTAAACTTCAGTGTCCGAGCACACACACACTCATGCACACATTCACACATGACACCAGATACATGAACATATAGGCATCCATATGCTCTGTGTGCAACGACCCATCAAAGACAGACATGGAAATAATAACAGTTGAGTTTAACGACACACACACACTCACTCACTGACTGTGGATAATTCTACACATATGCATCAAATCACTGCTTCCCAGTCCCACACAATGGCAAAAAGCAATGCATATGCACCACATATGCAACATCCAACATGCCTGTACCCCACTGTGTAAAACACACACACACACACACACACACACACACACACACACACACTCTCACTATAAGTGTATCAGTGTGTTAATAGACAGATTAGCGCATTCTGTGATCTGCTCTGAAGAGGATAATATCAACCTCATTTATTCAGTCAGACAAAACAAAGCAGCGCATGTTATTGCACTAATACGTCTGTCATCATGTCCTGAGAGCTAACTGCAGTCAGAGGTTTAACACACACAGACAGGATTGAAAATGCTGCTATGCATTAACCAAAAAAATGGAATAAGTGAAAATCAACCAGAATGATTGTAATCAGAAGTAAAACGAGAAATGAAAACGCGTAAATATTAAAGAAAGGCTGGGAAAGACTTTAGAAAATTCCGAGTAGAATTAAAGTCAATATAATTTTACGATCAATATTTTTTTTCAATAAAAAAACATCTATTTTGCCACTAAATATTTTTTTTAATAGAAAGAAAAATAACTATGACTATATACCATAAATATGTTTTTTATAACAACCATTTTGCTTATGCTTTGTATTTTTTATTTTCAGATGATATGAGGGAAGGAAAATAATGCAGGCTTGTTGTGTGTCAGGTTTTGATATCAACATAAAACAAATCTAGAAGTTTGAAAAATGCATTTGAATCCATAACCTTATATTTGAAGAAACGATTTATATTATTTGAATGCAAAATTCTGCATTCACTTGTATTTGTGCACACTATAAAACCTGCTATCTATATTAGAGTGTCCGTGTGAGATGGAGCTCTAAGCAGACGGGAGCTGCACCTCTTCCAGGTCTCGGCCCATAGTCGACATGTCGCACTTCAGAGGAAGCCGCGTTACAGCACCCTTGTAAAAAGAAAAGAGAGGGGCTCTTTAGAGAGATTCTTTGGATTAAAGTCATACCCTGATTTTTCTTCTCTTTCTCTCGGTTCTGTGCTGTGAGCCTGGGTGGCAGCGCCAGATCCTCATGTGGAGGTTAAGGCACATTTTTACGAGTTGTTCCCACGTTGCTCCGAGTTGAAGCGGAGAAGGAAATCATAATGAAATAAACCGACGCGGCCTACGGCTGCTGCATTGTGCAGGAATTATCCCTGATGAACCAATTAGGCTCGTCGTATCACTTAACTCCGGGCTTTTTAACTTGCAAGGGTCGATATTCATAGCCTCGCATGTACAGCAGCGGGTCAATTAAGGCTCCAAATAGTATCACTCCGTAATGCCTGGGAAATAATTCAACTCCTAATTAATGTTTGTATTTTTTCCCTCATAAAAACAATTATGAAAGTTCACACTTGCAGTGTTTTGTGAAACCGATTTCTGAACATTAGGAAGCTGAGAAAATAGGCAGTATTTATCGAATCCATTCCATTGATTTCATTTAAATTGCATGCTGCTCTTGTTGTTTCCTGTTGACACATTTGCGTGCATTATGAAGCTTGTGAATCTCCTGCTATGTGGTTTGGTAAAAAAAATCAAGTTTATTCAAAGATTAAAAGCCTATTAAGGCCTGTTGTGAAAGGTGTAAATCATTCGCCTGCACTCGTGCCTTTATCACCACTGTTGTTTATTTCGTTAGTTTAGAGAAAAATGCAATAATATAAAGCAATTGTATGTAGATTTTAGGTTATCAATATGTAATCTTAACACCCCAAACTTAATAAAACATAAGAACAAATATGTAATACAGCCTTATGTTTGATCAGTTCTCCAATTTGTAATTGCATCCCCTCTAGCCAAAATATGACGGGGGAAATGTTTCATAGTCCTTAAAACATCTACGTATAATTCAAAATGCATACATTTATGAATAGCAAAATAATTTACAATTACAGGCGAAATATAAAATACACGAAATCGTCTTGAATATAGGGATATACACAAAGGAAATCAATAAATATTGAGGTGGCATTTGTTTTCAAATTGACATTGTGTTAATTTCCTTTACGCTGGTTGAGACAGGTGCTGCTTTTTGTAGCTCGATTACGTTATCAAACACAGCTAAAGCAAAGAAAACAAGATCAAATCTTCTGATTTATAATTTGAAAATGTAAATCTTTGCTTTAAAATGTACTCTCATCGCTCACTGATGTTTACCGAGAGCATCAGACACCTGCTGAGCATGAGTTTATCAATGTCACTTGAAAATAACAGATTTGATGTTAAAGTGATATTTTCTCATTTCTAAATCATTGCCTTTGTATGTGATTTACAAGGATTTTCCAAATGTTTGTCTTGGTGATGCCCTGTCCTAAACGCAGTGCGCATAGCTGTGTTGCGTCTCCATCGATCAGATGGAAATATAATTTGAACGATGAAATACCGCATCCCTCGTGTCACCTAGTTGATCTTTAAGGGAGAGAGTGGAGGTTTTGAAACACGAGCCCATAACGCATTTCTCTCCACCAACACCCCAGGGTGCGCCAGCCTCGGCAAACACAAAGTCATTATCGGTTAGATTCCAAGAAGGCGAGTCTGTCAAGGAACAGGCTTCCTTCGGAGAATTTATGTCATGCCTACTAAACATGGGAAGATGTCTTCTAAGTGGTGCGAGGAAGGATAAATAACACCGAGTCCCAAAGCTGATTATATTGAAACAACGGTGCGCATTTGTAAAAAGGATTGGGGATGCAAACGTGGGGTCCCAGCTGATGCTGAGCGCAGGGGCCCATGATCCACCTGCGAGAGGAGAGAAAAAGCTCCTCCAAATCTCTTATCAATAGTTTGAATGATCGGAAAATCTAAGAAAACAAGCTTGTAAAAAATGTAGGATTTTGCATGCAAAGTGCAGGGGTGCAATCGTTTTATAAATATAATCTTTGAGAGATTAGGCTGCTTGAAATGCAAGAAAACATAAGCTTTATTTCATTTAGAAACACACACCATATCGGGAAAATGTTTCTAGAAATGTGATCGCCTGTTCCATAACTGTGGGATGTTATAGTCTCAACACATCAGTTTCGCCTTCTCGATTACACCTCTGGGATTAAAAAAACCCCCGTAAACTATACGGGCTGTAAATACCGTCAAGGTGACAGAATAAGTTTCTCATCATTTCCAACACGGAGCCGCGGCTGTTGCGCAAGAGCCGCTGTGGCCTCAGTGCGTAACAGCACGTGCAAGGTACGGAGAACCCGCTATGATTAACTGCAACATAACAACCATCCTCTATCTTTACTGTCTCCCCCTCACACACGTGCGCGCGAACGGACGCACACACACACACACACACACACACACACACACACACTTACGCACAAACTCTCACTCCTCTTCCCTGTTCCTTACCGGACACAAAACACCGCGTCTCTTAAAAATAACTCTAGCTTCGAGGGCTGATTGAAAGAATATTAAAAGCTATTAAACTACAGAGGAATTCAGTGTAACATCCACGATAACAGGCGAGCCATGTCGGGAGGAAATGTGGACTTTGCTCAGCCGGTGCAGGCTATCCGTTATCATCATTGCTTTTCCAGCCGAGCCTGTGTTCTTGCACGGCTCCTCTGCTGTTCTGTAGCCGCGCAAGGGGCTTCCTGCCTCGGCCACATGAAGTCAATTAGCCGGTCCCAGAGGGGGGCCCCTTCCCTAGCCTTTATCGGCACTGGGGTTACCAAAACACTGCTATTGCTTTGCTTTTAAACTCCACACCGCTCATAGACCAATTACGGACACCTAAGCATGTATGTAATGAATCCGGACATATGATAATCCATCAAACGGTGAAATAAACGAATTATCTGATATTGTGCAAATTTTGCATTAAAATGTGTGTTTTTATAAATACACAAAATATGATATTTTTACTTGTTTTATGGGATAGAAAATGATTCACATTGAAACACTCAAATCAAAAGGAACACACACACACACACACAATGGCTGCATGAATGAAAACACTCAGACATGGTGTGTGTAGAACAACATAATGATACACATCAAATCTCATATATTCCAAAAGTGGGAAAAAAGAGGCAACATTTCAATTATATTTACGGATTCTTAATTTAAAATATCACAAACAAAACAAGGCTCACATCCACCCATCTACCCCTTACACACACCTTCAGACACACATGCAAACACTCTCTTTTTCACACGCAGACAGGTAGTGGAATCCAAACAGCAACATTTTGAACATACACCACAAGTAGAAATATAAAAGTTTGGTTCTTGAATAATTTAGATTGAGAATATTTAGAGAGAGAAAGAGGGAAGATGCAGAGGATGAAGGGTAAGGCTGACATACCTGCTGGGACATTCTGTAGAGGAGGTTGCTGTCAGTGCCCTGCTGCTGCCATGTCCCCATGAAGCCCGGCTGCTCAGCACTAGGCGGTCTGGTGCTGAACTGCATGGAGCTTTCGCCTGCTCCCTCAGCGCTGCTGCTAACGATGCTAATGCCACCCAGACCACTTTTGCTGCCGCCGCTGCTGGTGGTGCTACTGTTGCTACTGGAGGGGATGCTCGTGCAAACGCCAGAGGTGCCTTCTGGTCCGTTAGCCTTAACTGGAGGCGGCCTGGGCGGCTCCGGGTCTGTGCTGGGCTCTTGTGGGACCGTGTCGCACTCACTGCCTCTCACATCCAAGTCTGCCTCCTTGGACTTAGACAGAGAGAGGAAGAGACAGAGAGGGAGGGAGGGATTTGGGAGTGTGAAGGAGGAGAGAAGGGGGGAAAAAAGTCAGTGAAGGTAGGTTCTTTTGGGGTCGTGTTGCCTTTATACGTCTCTCACTGGTCCTGCTTCTCAGGGAGGATAACAGTGAGAGTAGAGTAGATGTGTGTGTGTGAGGTTTCTTGGCAGCTCTGGTGGTGGACGAGTGTGTGTGGAGTTAATTCTTGAGAAGAAAGAAAGAAAAAGAGGGCAGTGAATTTCCTCGGGGGGCCTCGTCTTGGACAGGGCAAGACGAGCGGTGCACAGGAGTTGAGGAAGGATGGAGGTGTGGAGGGGGGCCGGTGAGAATGAGCAAGAATGTTTAAAAATAAAAAAGAGGGGGGTATGGGAATTAAGCGAGGAGGTGTTTCTGATGCTGCTGCCCGTGGCCTCAGATTTTGCTTTAATCCATCTGTCACTCATTTTGGACTTGGACATGGACCCAACACACACACACACACACTTTGAAACACAGTCACTTGCATGCAAACATTCAGATGTGAAGTGCTCTAATATTGAATAAATTCCAAAAAGTAAGAAAAAGTTGAACATCCTTGGAGCTGCACACTCAACACTGAACACATGCACACATACAAATATTTGCAACCTCTATGAAATAAATATTTTCTATATTTTTTTACAATATAATAAGTAAGTCTTAAATATAAAACGTGTCCTTCAGAGTGAATCAAAAACAGCAGACAAACAACTAAATGTGAAACGTAAATAAAACAGTTTCACACAAAATCTTTCCAACGTAAAAAAAAAGTAAGTAAATACAAAAAAAGTCCCATTAAAAGAGTATTTTAAAGCAATAAAGCCAATGAAATGCATGAATGTCTCTTACCATCAATTCTGTGCCTGTCCCAGCAAAGTGAAGATGAGGTGTGGGAGTGAGCCACCAGCTATCCAGCTCTCCCTGCCTCCCGTTTCTCTCTCTCTCTCTCCCTTTCTCTCTCCCTAAACTACTCTCTCTCTCTGAGGTTGTGTCCCTCTCTCGACGTCCGTTACCGTGCCGCCTGTCCTCGCTCTTTCCCGCTCTCCCTGCTTCTCTCTCTCTCTCTCTCTCTCTCTCTCTGACTCCTCTGTACTCCGCTGCAGCCGCTGAGGAACTGAGAGCCTCTCTGTATGTGTGTGTGCAAGAGCCAGAGCATGTAAGAGCGAGGGAGTGTGTGTGTGTGTGTGTGTGTGTGTGTCTGTGTGTGTGTGTGTGTGTCGGGGCCGGTGCAAGCTCAACTGAGTCAACTGTGCTGCTCCACTCTGAGATGCTCAATGACATCGCGCTGCACGCTTCCTCACTCGCACATACACACACCCCTCCTCTACTAAGGAGGAGGGAGCGGTGGGGGCAAAGCGCCATCGAGGAGCAGGGGAAAGTGGGGGGAGCGTTGGTCCCCCTGCCTTATTACCATTTGCACTGCGAGCGGCCGGCATGTCTCAGAGCAACTTTCAGTCCTCCTGAGGGACCATCCCGACACACACACACGGCACTAAGCTAAAGAGCCTCTTACCTTGAAGAAAAAACATCTTGAAGACAAGCATTATTGTCTCAGATTGTTATCAAGTATTTGCTCTTTGTTTGGAAATCAGAAAAATGCTTTTTGTATACGCCACAGAAAGGTTTTTAATCACAGCTGAAAATGACTCTGTTTGTAGGGCAGCAATACAAAATAAACAAGCAAAAAGAAAAAAACAACAACTATCAATAGACTTGTTATATCTGTACAAATCTGGTGCCTTTGTTTGATTTTCTCCCACTCTAATGAAAGACTAATGGAACGCAGGCAATCTGCCACCAGCATGCATACTAACACACACATGCACACAAACACACACACACTCGGAGTAAACCCCCCCGCGGAGGCTCTCAGATTTTAATTAAGAAAAAAATGAGGAAGAGGTTCCATTTTAGCCAAATTGGTCCCCACAGCAGCAAAGGTAAGGGAATAAAATGAGGGATGGAGGAGTAAAGGGAGGCAGACGTGGAGAAAAAGACACACAGGAGGATAAAACTGGAAAAAAGAGGAAGCAGATCTATTCTTCCTTTGACAGAGCATATAGGACACGTCTCAAACAATGAAGACATCCCCCCCACCACCTCCTCCTTTCCTTCTCCTTTCCTTCCCTTTAAACTCCCATCTCCTCTTCTGCAGCCCGGTCTTTTCACCCCACCATCATTAGAGAAATGACAGACCAGGTGCCTGAGTCCGCAGCGAGAGGGAGATGTCACTGTGATTTCTCCCCCGCCAAGGAACAAAAGAGAGAGGGACAAAGAGAGAACTTCTCTCCCTGGCAACATTAAATGGCTCCTGATATATAAAGTCGCTTCAGATGTTGTGTTAAATTGCTGCAGACTTGGTCGTCTGTTAAAAGCCTTTTTGTGCGATGTACTAATGGCAGTATACTGTTAACCTCAGCTGAGATTATGACATCTGTCCTTACTGTTATGAACAAGAGATTTCCGCCAGCAGAGGGAAAAGTACAGTACAGCACTTTGCAAATGTACAGTTGTGTCTTTTGTCTCAAGCTCAATTGACATCTCCTTTCTCTCCCCTCATCTTATTCCTTTGCTTTGTCTCCTGTGATGTTTCTCTCTCTTCTTTTTTTTCTACTCTTCTCTTCATTAATCCTTTTCAAAGTGGCCTGTGTTTTGTCAGAAGCAGCCTTGTCGTAAAAGGTGTACTGTGTCACCTCCTGTCCACACGCTCTGCTCTTAACAACGTTGTGAAAAGGTAATGCACGAGGCTTATGCAAATTATGTTAAGTGACAATTTAGCGGCTGAGGTTCCTTTTTGCTTTCCCGCTCACGCCTCTCCTCTCCCTCTCTAACTCCCTCCCTCTGGTCTGTAAATGTGCGAGTCCATGGGTTTTTTAGAGTGGCACTCAGTTGTTCAAGTCAAGCTGGTGGCTCAGCTTCTGACCTGGCTGGTTAATGGCTGTTATTTGTGGGAGGGAGGAGTGGACTCTGCCAATATCTTCCCCTTCCCTTCCTCCCCCCACCCCTTGCCTCTGCTGATGGTAATGGCCGTGATGACAGAGGAAACGAGAAAGACACCCAGAAGTAAAAAATCTGGAGATGTAAGAGGGAAACAGGGAGGAAATGGAAAGATTACAAATAAAAATCAGAGGAAGCAGGAAGAGGGTAGAAAAAAAAGGATGCAGGAGATTCGCAGGCTCCTTTATTAAAACTATTATTGTGCAGGACTTGAGAATTCCCCCCGGGGCAGGGGTCCATGTCGAAGCCCATATAATTAACTAGAGGCTCAGCTACGGATCAATTACCAGACAAGCAAGTGATAGCCGAATCAATGGAAGATCATCAGGCTCGTTATCAGTGTTGCAACTCATTAGAGGAAAAGTGAGGTAGAGAAAGAAGGGAAAGAAAAAAAGGGGGGGGGGTGGTTGGGTGAGGCAGGAGGGGAGGTCAGGGTTGGTGGCAGTGTGTTAGCCCCAGAGGATGATGTGTGTGTGTGTGTGTGTGTGTGTGTGTGTGTGTGTGTGTGTGTGTGTGTGTGTGTGTGTGTGTGTGTGTGTGTGTGTGTGTGTGTGTGTGTGTGTGTGTGTGTGTGTGTGTGTGTGTGTGTGTGTGTGTGTGTGTGTGTGTGTGTGTGTGTGTGTTGTAGTTCTCCTCAGCAGCCACTGACTGGTGACAGTCTGTATGACAGAGTGCAGGCCGCCTGTAGCAACAGCCACTGAGCCTTGTTTGGATCAATACAGAGTGTGCATGAGGTTAAAGCTCTGCCATGGCATCCTTATTCCCCAGCGACACACACAATCCCACAATCCCAGCAGTCAGAGGGGGAATGTCAAGATTGAAGAGTTACAGAGCAAAGCCTACATTTCTGATTGATGATACTATACATTTATAAGTAACTCCTCATCACTGATATTCTAATGGAGGATGGCAGTATAGTCCATCGTTTTGCAGTGAATTTAAACATCAGAAGAGAGCTGATTCAATTCTGAGTCATTTGATGTTATTCTTATAAAAACATGTTTCTCCAAAAATATTATAAAGACAAAGATAATCAACACATATTTGTAATAAGGCCCAGGACAGTCAGGTCTGTGTACTGCATTACTACATGTACAACTGTTTGAACTTTGCTTTTAACTGATATACTATTTGAAGTAAGATAATGTCATATTTAAACTTTTCGGTAATTGATTTTTAATATACTTCAAGTTAAGAATACGATTTGTAATTAGCCCTGATCTAAAGAGATTACAATTATTTTAGAGCTTAAAAAGATGACTATGTTAAATAGTATTAAGCTAACACCTACAGAGCATGCCAGGTAACAGTGAAGAAAATAAATAAACACAGGGGAAAAGTGAGACTAAAGATAGTCCTGTCTTCATGTTGCACTTTCTTTCTTTAGCTACAACTGTGTTTCAGAAGGCATCCTTCCTCACTAAGCCAACATTGTTTTCCCCATCAAACCTCTCAGCACTGCCTTTTTATTTCCCAAACATTCACATCTAATGGGTCAAATAGCCCAGAAATTGGTTGTGACAGCACTGAGTAGTTAGACCAGTCTCAAGAGAACCAATTCTCCTTTCCACACACTCTGTCCCCTCTTAAATCTGGAGAAGCAAAGTGCCTTGTGTTTCATTTTCTATGCAAAGTGAGACACTCAATGCGAACAACATACATGTAGAGGACAAAACTAATGCAGAATACCTCGAAAAGTCATAATTAAAATGCTTATCATCTGCGTTACTTTTGTGTATTTTCTTTTCACTATTTTTTTAAGAAGGGGGGGGGGTCATTTTTCATGGTATAAAATCCCAACTGTGCAAAACACAACTCAAATTGGCCTTTTACACACTAAAGGAAAGGACAGAATCAGAGGGCAGAGGGAAAGCAAAGTGGAACAACATAATTTGTGCAGTGATGGTGATTATGTGCCGCAGAAACAAATGATTAAAGCCAGTAGAAAAGGTCGATG